AATGAAACACCTTTATATATAATCCGTCTTAATGAAACACCCTTTACCTGATCTTAAAGATATAGACTGATATTGAAAATATCTTGTACACGATCACGATTTGTTCCATTTGTGAGAGGCCTTCATTGGAGAGACCATATTCTTTTTTACATCATTCTACATTTTATTCTCTGCACTGTGCACTATCATTTCCATTACTAATACGGAAAGTAAAAGGAAACTTACACCAACCATTAAACATTTTCTATCTCATGTGGAGTGTGTCGATATAATACCTCTGATGTCTTCTGGAATTCCGAACTCCATTGCCTTTTCTATCAGTGCGTATCACACTAACCTATAGGCATTCTGAAGTTCTAAACAGATCACGTGATATACATTTATATTCATTCAAATAAATACACATATATTCCCATGAGAATTGTGTCATATTTACTGGCCTAAAAAACGAATTGTTTACACGAGTATTTAAAGACTACTGCTTACTGCATCTCATTCAAACTCCATAAATGCTTATTTAGAATTTTGATGCCCACCTAGTAATAAAAAACAGCCCATTGGATGCAGTCTAACATTTGCATTTTTTTGTTAAAATTAAATGTGCGTTTTATACACCGACAAATAAAGAAAATAAATAAATAAATATTAAAAAAAATATATTTAAAAGAAAGAGATCTAAGTGGATCTTTACAAACAAAAAGTTGTGCCTTTTTGTGAGCCGGTTTATTTTTATTTGAGAACTCACTTCTCTCTCAGATTATCTTCCTTTATTTACATTGTATTTGGACATCGTATTCATGGAGCCAGCGTGTGAGCAACGATGAGGTCTTGGAGAGGATGCAAACAAGGAGGAGGCTTAACATACGGAAGAGGCAGCTGAAGTTTCTGGGACACGTAATGAGAAAGGAGGACCTGGAGAATCTGATACTCACAGGTTGAATAGTGGGAAAATGAGACAAGAGAAAGCAACGCTTGACATACCTGTCGGGTGTATGCAAGTGGATGACAGAACGTGGTCTGGTGGAGGTGGCAGAGGGATGAAACTTATTGAGAGCTACAAAGGATAGAGGAAAGTGGAGAGCCATGATCGCCTACATCCTGAAAGGACATGGCATATATAAAGGAAAAATTCTAACCTGAACAAGAATTTCTATATAAAAACGTAACGTTCCAATACTTGACTATATTTGGTTTCTTGAATTCTACATAAAATATTTAATCTAAACAAATCTTGAATATTTAATCTAAATATTTAATCTAAATATTCAATCTAAACAATTCTTGAATATTTAATCTAAATATTTAATCTAAATATTTAATCTAAACAAATCTTGAATATTTAATCTAAATATTTAATCTAAATATTTAATCTAAAAACAAATCTTGAATATTTAATCTAAATATTTAATCTAAATATTTAATCTAAATATTTAATCTAAATATTTAATCTAAACAAATCTTGAATATTTAATCTAAATATTTAATCTAAATATTTAATCTAAATATTTAATCTAAACAAATCTTGAATATTTAATGTAAATATTTAATGTAAATATTTAATTTAAATATTTAATCTAAATATTTAATCTAAACAAATCTTGAATATTTAATCTAAATATTTAATCTAAATATTTAATCTAAATATTTAATCTAAACAAATCTTGAATATTTAATCTAAATATTTAATCTAAATATTTAATCTAAATATTTAATCGAAACAAATCTTGAATATTTAATCTAAATATTTAATCTAAATATTTAATCTAAACAAATCTTGAATATTTAATCTAAATATTTAATCTAAATATTTAATCTAAATATTTAATCTAAATATTTAATCTAAACAAATCTTGAATATTTAATCTAAATATTTAATCTAAATATTTAATCTAAATATTTAATCTAAATATTTAATCTAAATATTTAATCTAAACAAATCTTGAAGAAATTTTCAGTGATTTTATTTAACGTTTTATTTCTTCAAATCAGATTTATTTGTTCTTTATCAATATATACAAAAAAAAAAAGGATGAGTATGTGTGATACCTTTTCACTCGAGATCCATCCAACCGATTTTGACCAAACTTGGCACATATATTGTACAATGTAAGTGATAGGTTCTTAGCGTAAAATATCGATAATCTTTAAAAAATCAATAATCGATAAAGCCGATCAAATATCGATAAATTCAACTTTTATTTTTCGATTTCATTCAAACTCGGCATGTAGATTTCTTACATCATGACGAGCTCAACGATACCTCATTTTTATTTCTATGCCACTGCGTTTAGCGAAAAACTACTAAAAACGAGAAATCGATTTTAACACAAATTTTAAACGAAAAACTCTCTCAATTTTCAAGCAATTGAATACAGATTTTACTCAACTGTAGCCAACAATAAGTTGATTGTTTAACAATCATTTAACTTGATAATTGAGGCCAACCATATAGTAAAAAACCACGTAAATAGCGAAAAATGGCGATTTTTACTGGTTTCTTTCTTATTTTTTGTTGATCTTTCAACCAATTTTCATCAAACTTAACAATTTCTTTATAACTGTATCCTCCTTTACATCCCTGGTAGCACACTGACAAATTGAATTTCAAAACTCCAAAATAATTGTGGTCTGAAATGAGTTTTCATGTTGCCTGTTTTACCCCTTCATGTCCTAGGATAAATTCAATTGAATAAATACAGACTATTTCTGTTATATCAGTAACTGCATTAATTCAAAATGTTTTGCTAATGAAAGTACTTCAAAGTAATTAAGAAGATAGACTCTGTTACATCTAAACATGATGCTGTTTTTGCTCCATTCTAATTGAATGCTTTTTCTGATCGACCAGTTGGGTATGGCTGCTAGTCAAATAATTAAGTGGGAAAAAAACGTTTAGAATATTGAAACAGTACAGATATTAAATGGATGAATTGTTAGGATGATTAGAACATAAAATTGTCGTGATCAGACAAGATATTCCATTTCGGGTGGGCTTAAAATGAGTTGGGAATGATCATGATATTAGTTATTAGTCTTGAAGGTTAGCGTACACACACGCGCGCACGAACACACATATATGGGGGTGTAGACCTAGTTGTTTTTGTACGCGTGCTTGCAAAATTATATTTGTATGTACGCACGCACGTGCACACATACAAACACACATACACGCACAGAGTGTGTGTGTGTGTGTGTGAGAGAGAGAGAGAGAGAGAGAGAAAGAGAGAGAGAGAACTGCTGCAGAAAGAAAGATCTATATGCTTAAAGAAGGAGGCAAATATTGATAGAACAGTAAGTATCGCTATGGGGTGTGTGATCATGTTTCGAATGACCTGCCACCATCGTCAGACAATATGCCTAGAAGGGGTTTCTATTTCATATCTTTTTCTAGCTTTCATTAAGAATGATGTAAAAAGCATACATTAATAATAAAAAGTACACAACATTACGGGCAAAATGTCTTTAGTGATAAGTTTTCAGCATTAGGATATATTTACTCATTTGGAAATGCCAACAGTGCTCAAGTTACGGTGACCGGAAAGATGTAAGATTATCACAAAGGGTGGATCACTTGTAGCCATTTATTGTATTCTTTTCAGTAGTTTGATGTTGAGGGTGTTTGCATGCTCCCAGGAGGAAAGTAGGTGTCGCGTGTGAACGTCTATGCAGGGGCGTCTGAGAGATACATATATACTCATACTTGTGTCAGTGGTTGTTTAATATGCAAAATTCTTTATGACCCCTTGTGTATGGGATGTTTTTTGTGTGTTAATAATTGGGCATGTCTTTTGTTCTGAATATGGGTGGGGTGAATTTGTTTGAGAGAACCCCTAAATGGACGAAAGCAATATTTGCAAAGCGTCCAGTAAAAACTGAACTCAGAATCAATGTTTTTTTTTATTAATACAATTTTAAGTCATTATATGCGCCTGAGTTTCGCAATGTGAATGTGTTCCTTTGTATGTGAGTCTTTGAAAAGTCTCAGCAGATAATTGTATTATTAAGTACAAAAGACGAATAATGTAAAGAAAGAAGTATATAGAGAAAGTATGGAACGAAGATGTAAGAAAAAGGAGACGGATAAATGGCAAGAATAGACGTAAGCAAAGGTATTAGGCGCGTGGCCGAGTGGTTAGAATGTTCGCCTTCTGGTCATGGTGGATTTGTCAGGAAGGAGATTTCCTGATGTTATCTGTCTGAAGGGGGACAATCCCAGCGTGCGCCACCTTTGGAAAGTGCCTGAAAACGATAACACGGGTTGACCCAAGCTTTGTGGGTGAAATTGGGTAGACGTAACACTTGGGGATGTCGATAGCTGGGCTAGCACGAAGTCACAAGTCATCGTAACCAAGAGTTTGAGTGTGCTGGCTTTTTCAGATTGTTGATCACGCTGGATAACAGCCTCTCTTCCAGAAACTGTAACTAAGGTTTGCTCAGCATAGGTGCAGTATAAACCACAGGTTGGCTCTGTTGGTGTTGAACAAACACAAATGTGCCTGAGCGAGCGTCTGCAATAGGAATTGACTAACCGACCTAGTAGATGGGTATCCTCTAATACGAGTTACCAGCTCTTTGCACACACACACACACACACACACATACACACACACACACACACATATGTATAATGGATTCTTCCGACGTATGAGGATCTGACAACTTAACCAATGATTGAATTTTGTGCGATAATCCTTAGTGGCACATAAGACCCACTAGTGATTTGCAAAGGAAGCCGCATATGGAGCAAGAGTGAGGATTGGGGGATGAGGTCACTGTTAGATTGGCTGACCTTTTAGATCTTGCTCTCGCTTCTTGAAAACGATTCAGACTAGCAGATTGAAAACTGCTGAGTCCAATAAAACACGTTGATCTTCACTTTACCTGCTCCTAAATAAGCGCTCGATGATGTTCTGATATATATATATATATATATATATATATATATATATATATATGTGACAGATTGGGAAATATTTAAGAGATCAGAGAAAGTATGTACCATGAATACATATCTATCTATCTATCTATCTATCTATCTATCTATCTATCTATCTCTCTATCACAGTCTGTTTACATGTATCTCTCTATCACAGTCTGTTCACGTGTATCTATCTATATATCTATCTATCTATCAGTTGATCGATTGAATGTAGATCGAACAATCAATCGATAGATACTCGTGTTTGTGCATGTATAGAATGTATGTGCGTGTGTTTGTGTGTTTGTAGGTGTCTGCGTGCGCACACGTGAGAAAAGGAGAAAAGGTAAATCGTCAAAATTAAAACGTGAATGCCACAAGTGATAACTCTATTATCAAAATGAAATATTCAAATAGTAAACAGGCAAAGCCAGCCGCATGAAATCTAATAGCCCCACATCTCTCGACACTTTGTTTGTCCAACATGCAATTCTTTCTTAACTCCCCCGCCTATTTTCTTTACTGTGAGTTTCCTCCCCCCGCTTTTTGATAAGCAAATGTCACTCCCATCCCTCATTCAACTTTCGGATTTCACTGACCCACAAAGAAACAAAAAGAAAAAACGAGAAGATACATTTTAGTTATTATATTTTAATACATTTAATATTTTAATTTAATATTAATTTTAATTTATTAATTTAATGTATTATTGTAAATTATTATTATGAATATTATATATAAATATATAATATAAATATAATATAATTATAATATAATATAATAATGCAATATAAATATAATGTATAAATTATTATATTACTATATTATTTAATTTATTAATATTAACTTTAATATTAATTTAATATTAATTTTTAATTTATTAATATTCTGTAAATTGTAAATTATTATTAAATATATAATATAAATATAATATAATTATAATGTAATATAAAGATAATATATAAATTATTATATTATTATACTATTTAATTCATTAATATTAATTTTATTATTAATTTAATATTTAATATTTTATTACATTTAATATTTGTCGTAATATTTCACTTTCGCTCGGTTGTAATTCTGATTTCATTGTCGTTTGTCTCTTGGTCTTCATGTAAATTTTGAATTTTTTTTTATAATTCTGTAGTGTTTTATGAAGAGGGCAACTAGTACTTGCCGTCGTTTTTCTTGAAAAGTGTAGGGTCGTTGAAAAACAGATAAAATGTCCCAAATGGAATACTCAAATTTAAAACACTTAAATGTAATCGATAACGGTGTCAATACACACAAACACATGTACCTAAATATCAGATATATGTATATATGTATAAATGTATAAGACAAGAAATATTTTAAAGTTCTCAACCCGACCAAAAATCCTTTAAAATTCCGATTTTGGGTCATTTAGTCAGATTTTGGTAAATAGATTGTTTATAATTTTTTTTTTCCAGTGGGATTTCATTGATGCCCGAGATGGTGACAAACTTTCCACAAGTGTGATTGCTTGGTGTTCGGATCTGATTGAAAGACAGTATGTGAAATACTGATTTTTAAGAGAAACAGATAATCTCCAACTGTAAAATTGGACGCAATACAATATTCCTTCCTGTCATTTTTATTCATTATTTAGTCGGTCGAACAATGTTAAGCTTAGAAAATACGTTTATTAATAAGAACAAATCTGTACATACACATTTGTTGATGTATATATGCACACACATATATATTTGTGTGTTTGTATGTATCAAAGAGTGAAAGAATATATATATATATATATGTGTATGTGTGTGTGCGTGTGTATGTATATATATATGAGTGATACATAGAGAGAAGGGCAGACAGCAACATAGAATAAGACAAGCACACAATATACACACACTCTTCATCTGACTTTGCTTGATAGTAAAAAATGCATGAAATTTCACTCTAATGATGCACGCACATACACACATACATAGATACGCGCATGCGCAATGTTGCAACAAACCCAATATTCTCTTGGGTTGCTTTTTTGCTGTCTGCTTCTTTCTTTCTGTTCCTTTTATTTTTGAAGAAAAACGCGCTTCTGTGTACGGACGTCGGCAAAATATAAAACGCGGTTAAGTTCACCACACACTGGCTATGTAAACACATCACACAAGATGCTCGCTTTTTGCTGTGTCTTTTGATTTTCTTCTCGTTGTTAACCTCTTCTTCTCTGTTTCTTTCTCTCGCTTTCATGTTTTACACTTTCACACACTAATAAAACATTCCCGCTATCATTTTCATTCTATCGTTTCTATCCTCCATTCTGTTCGCTTTTCACTTTTATTTGGGCTTCTTTCTTTGTCTCGTTTAATTTCTCTCTCTCTCTCTCTCTCTCTCTCTCTCTTTTTTTCTCTGTATGTCTTTCATTTTCTTTTCGATATTATATATATATATTTTTTTACTTTTCTTATCTTTCTCTTTCTGTCGAACTCTTTCCCCTCTCTTTTTCTTCTCTCTATCTCTTTCATTTTCTTCTCTTTCTCTCGGCTTTCCTTTTTATGATACTGTGAACACATGCAACTTGGGTGAATTTTTTTGTTCACCAGAATTGCATGTTTTTCTTACTGGAGACTTAATTATGTTACATGTTTCTTAAAATATTGTCCTTTATTCGACATACAATGACCTTCCTATTTCCAAGCAGATCTTCTGGTATCTGCATTCATTTTTACTTTATTGTTTTCAGTTCTTAGATTTATTTATTTAATTTTCAAAGTTTTCTCTTCATTTTTCGTTTTTCTTCCTAATTTCAGTTTCTCTATATCGCAAATCTCCGGAGACTATTTTTTTTTTTTTTTCCCAACGCACATCGCTTAATATGATCATAAAAGGCGGTCTGGAAGCTTCGATGAAGAATTCCATGAAATTCCAAAAATTAAATTGTTCATTTCTTTTTTTCGGTTTTTTTTTTTTTTTTTTTACTTTTAGGTATTTTCTTTCTGCACCCCTCTTTTCCTACTAATTTTATTTGTTTATTTTAAACGACAGATCGTCAGACAAATGTCGCGTATTCGGGTACCTTGACTGGAGAACACGAACCCCACTTTTTTGTCGGAATTATACAGATAAACTTTTTAAGAATCATATCATATTGATATTTTGAATGTCAAAATTGCAAAAATGATTCAGTTAAAAATGCTCTTCTTTCTTTTTATGTCGTGTATCTCTTCAGGACGTAGGCGATCATGGCTCTCCTCTTCTCCCTATCCCTTGTAGCTCTCAATAAGTTCTGTCCCTTTACTACTTCCCCCACGCTCTGTTCTGTCATCCACTTGCTTAAGCCCGATAGTTATGTTGCTTTCCCTTGTCTCTCTTTCCCTCTATCTGCCCTGTGAGTATCAGATTCTCCAAGCCCCACTTTCTCATTACGCGTCCTAGAAATTTCAACTGCCTCTTTCTGATGTTGAGTATAAATTTCCTCTTTGTTTGCATCCTCTTCAAAACCTCATGGTTGCTCAACATGTTCGGGCCATGGTATCCTTAGTACATCGAGTCTTCTTCATCTTTGAGGAGACCGTCCAACATTCGCTACCGTAAAGAAGAACAGATGTCACGTAGCAGCTTAGTGCTCTTTTCTTTGCTACCAAAGATATCCTCCTGTCTTGTAATACTCTACCTGGCTTTTGGAATGCATCTTTGGCCATCACAATATGTCTTCGGATCTCAGCGTCACACTTGCCGTCCTCTGTCAAAACACTTCCCAGCCATTTTAAATCACGTTTATTTCATATACTCAAATTTTACCTTTTCTCCTGACTGTTGACTTTTGTCATCAGAGAATCTTTCAGTTTTCACATTTAATTTGAATGTTAATTATCATTAGAGAATCTCTCAGTTTTCACATTTAATTTGAATGTTAATTATCATCAGAAAAGCTTTCAGTTTTCACATTTAATTTGAATATTGATTGTCATCAGAAAAAGATTTCAGTTTTCACATTTCACTTGAATGTTGATTATCATCAAAGAAGTTTTCAGTTTTCACATTTAACTTGAATGTTGAAGGCTTCACTATTCCAACACTTCAAAAACACATTTTAAATAATTTTCCTTGATATTAATATTTTGTTATCTAGGTTTTCCTTTATTTCCAGAAGGGACATTATTATTATTATTTTCTTAAAATGAAATAAAAAAATCTAAAACAGATCACAGTAAAATATATCATCTTTTATTTGTCTCAAGGTCCTTGATAAAATCCAAAGACAGATATGCAATGTAATTGGCCCTGATCTGGCATCTCGACTGCAGTCGCTCTCTCAAAGACGTGCCGTCGCCTCCCTCTGTCTTTTTTACAAATACTTTCACGGTAACTGCTCCGATGAGCTGCTTTCGCTGGTTCCCAGACTTCATGAATTTAAGCGTTCAACTAGGCTGGCATCTCGCTGTCACCCTTTCACTGTTGAAACTGTTAAATATAGCAGTCTCTTCTACTCTAATAGCTTCATGTCTCGCACTTCTCGCCTGTGGAATTCTCTCCCCTTTTCCTGTTTCCCTGATAGCTATGATCTCCAACTATTCAAATGTAATGTCAATCGACGTCTCCAGATGCCTTGATCTATCCCCTATCCTTCTCTTCATCCTTTCCTCTATCACTCCTATTTGCTCTTGCTCCAATTCTCTGTAACCCCTTGCGTGCTAGTGGCTTCCCGCCTTGCTTGGGGTAAACGCTAAAAAAAAATAAAAATAAAAAACTATATATTACTATATAAAATATATTGTACAACAGGCATATTGACCTTGACCTGCATAAAAATACGTATGCTGTTGGCACACTGAATGATTTTAAACCCCTAAGTCAGCATATAGTCAGTAAAAGGTTGCCGACCCCTGTTATATACTATCAAATGCAATAATATTAGTGAATATTTAATTTATTCGAAGCAAAGGAAATCACAGGCAGATCGAAAGGTGGTTTTGAATGTTAAAGGTAGATTTTTACATTGTAAAAACAAATGAAAATGATAAAAAAAAAAAATGGAAGATAGGATTATGGGAAGGTGAGTTTAAAATATCAAAAGCCTGACCCGAATAAGGAACTTTGTCTTCTAAGCGGAGATTATCTGTGGTAACCCCAGTATATACTGACTTTACCTTAAGAAATACCAAAGTAGCCTTAGCACTCAGTATCTCACCAGAGCATCAGTTGAGCCAGTTGCATCGGTGGGTTAGAACTAAAAGGTGAACTCATAGACACCAGCTGCAAAATCGCACGTCAAAAGATAACACTAGTTGGTCCTGAAATGTAAATAGATGGTCGACTCAGTTGAGCTTAGGAATAACCGGATGACAGGAAATTATATAAGAACCCCATGGAGGAAACACCAGAGTCACTTACTTGCTCACGGGAAGTATTACGTTCGGATAAAGTTCTGAAAGTGACTAAAGAATAATTTTACATAAGAAAGATTTAGTCTCATATTTTTATATAATGTTTTAACGTTACAAACACAAATTTAAACTTCAAATTCATGAAAATATGAATATTTCTGTCTATATCTCTTAGATGAGGTATCATGATTGCTTGCATTACTTACATTATTCGTACTGTTATCCTCATCTTCATTGCAATATTCACAACGTTTCGACCTCTATATCTCTGAGATGAGGTATTATGATTGCTTGCATCATTTACATTATTCGTACTGTTATCCTCATCTTCATTCACAACGTTTCGGCCCTTGTACGCTCCGGCCTCTTCAAGTGATTAGAACTGAAACCGAACCCTTTATTTTCGTCCAGCAGGGTAGATTGTTCTAGTTCCACGTGCCATACCTCTTCCGGATGTCTCAGTTATTTCCCTTTACCTCAACTCACCAATTGCTGTGGCCTGGTATTGAACTCAGTTGTCTAGTCACTGGATCTAACCAACGCCTTTATCCTTGAGGACATCTGTGTATAAATTTGAGGGGTTTATGCACTTAATGTCTCAGCAACTATTTTTTACCAGTACTCATATTGCAACTTTTTGTTATTATTATGGCATTTTTTACCAGAGCTTATATTGCAATTTTTGTTGTTATTCATTACTTTTCTCAAGCACTCCTTATTACTGGTTCCCATATTTCTATACTTGGTCAGCTCATAAGATTTCTATATTTCTATTAAACGCCCAGATGACTTATCACAAGATACTTTGAAACGATTGAACTTTTGATTTTAACATTTAATCGATGTGAAATTTTGCTGCTAAGTGTTGACATGAGGATTAGATTTAAATTATCTGTAAATTGCAATTGTGCAAAGTTGAAAAATTCAAATTGAACAACTGTGAAGATATACAGACAAGTGCTTTACATTCCCTTTTCGCGCAAATATCCTTGGGAAAGGTATAAATCCATCTCTTCCTTCTTCCCCCAGCTATGGGTAAAATAGCAGGACAGAGTGGACTCTTTAACTTTCGTTGGCAACCAGTCTAGGAAAAGAACAATTCTGAATTCAAAACTTGATCATTATTGATTTGGCTTTGCCTATTCGACAAAGAAATATGCAGTATAGTTTTTCAATAACTAAATCTAAAAAGTAATCACTCGGCACCAGTGATAAAGACGAATGGAAATATGAAAATGATAAAAAATTATTTTCTTAAAATATTGTTTCTAATACAAAATAAATAATACCTGTTCAGTGATGTGGAAAATGCAGAATATTTTCTTATTGGTCAAAATCTAGTGAATTGAATATTGAATAATATATATTCAGCAGATTATTAAATGGGGCATTCGAATATCAAGGTCACTTCCGCCGAATGCAAATCAAATGTAAGAATGGTAATTATTCAACAAATGTCATTCAGTCTGCAAATAAGTAAGATGAAAGATATGGAAGTCAGATTTTGTTGTCAGAAGAGAGCTGCTAAGATGAAGACAGTTTGAGTTTGAAAAAAAGTCGATAAAGTTGGTAATAGATAGATAGATAGATAGATAGAGAGAGATAGAGAGAGAGAGAGAGAGAGAGAGAGAGAGTAAAAATGAAAGAAAAGGCTAGGTAGAAAAAACGTTGAAGCAAGAAAGCTTGGCTTTGCTAGCAAGAAATTACTGACTAGATTTGCAAGCTAAAATTCAAGCCAAAGTTAGCTCCCACTGTGTGGCTACATCCGGAAGACACAGAGTCGTTCCGCCTTTACCTACCCTACTCCTTCTTTAAAAGCAGCAAGAGGCTCCGCTTGGTCATGGACGGCATTTTGGGGAGGATCAAAGATATATTTTATATGTATCTACCGTTTGATGTAGACGCCATCCGACGCCGATGGGGAGTGGAATAAAGGCTATCAGTGTTCACCCCACAGTCAGCTTCAGCTAGCGACAGTGATATCATATCCTCTCTACAGAAGTTTCCCACTACAAATTCTATATACGTGTATATGCGTGTCTGCCTTTATAATATGCAACATCAATTTGTAAGCACACAAACGTTAATATGCGCATATGCAAGTGTGGGTATGAGCTAATTTATCTGATTATGTACAAACATACTTAAGTATATGTAAATATATCCTGACGT